TTACCATAAACCACTACCTTCTTCCCCCGAATACAACCTACGGTCATTATAGCTGCATTTGGGGCACCTTTCAGTCTAAATACAGCTGTGATGACCGTACGTTGTATTCGGTGGAAGAAGGTAGTACCTTTGTCGGTTCGACCTTTCAGAAGGCCGAAACGAAACGACGGCCGCCGATCAGATTGATCAACGTCGGGCTCGGCCTCCTGAAAGTTCGGGAGCTGGCAAGAACTGGTTGAAACCGGACGCCAAAGGTACTAGTGGTATAACCGTTTGCATTTATTTCATGTCCAATGGCAAAAGCAGGCCCGGGAATCCTTCCACATCTCAACCCGGAAGACTGGGGCGCTTACGCTTACACAGTATCGGCTTGTGCTGGAAACCGGGGGCCAAGTCCCATTAGCTTGGATTCTTCATTTCTGGCCTTCGATCTTCATAATCTAGGGTCACAAATGAAGAATTAGGGTAAGTGGGACTTGGCCCCGGCTCCAGCGTCCCATGTATTTCAATGCAAATCTGGCAAAAGAAAGGATCATATGGACAATTAAAGGAAGCAAAACGGAAAAAAGGAAAGCAAGTACCGATGTACCTAATTTGCTACACCGAACCTCAGACTGACCGCCACCCTAAGGGCATACTCACACTAGGACTTTTTTACTTATTTCTGGACGGAATAGCGGCCAGATGCATACAGGTGTGGCCGAAATTGAGGTCTGATCTAGGCTACCAGCCGGGCCGCCCGAGTCCCGGGTGGCCAGCCCGTGCAAGGACCAGGGAAGGTCCCAGCAAGAAAAAAAAAAAAAAAAAAAAAGATCCACAAAAAACCTATGTTATGCAGAAAAATAAACTAAACAATATATATATCTATATCTATATATATATATATATTCTTCCCTCAACTTCTGTTTCTTTACCTTCCACTACCTACTCCTAAGACTATCTAGAGGGGACCCCTGCAAGCATAGTTTCCTCTCTCTGTGAAGGGGAGATTTCATGTTGCCTTTTGCCCCTAATGGTTAGGGTATAGGGTTGGGGCCGCCAGTGGGGGTCTGGCTAACACAAAGACCGAGACCTGCCAGTAGCTGTGCCTCCCTTTCTCATAGCAGCAGAGGCTATGGCCAACACTCTCCCACAGACCACACACAACCCAGTCGCGCTCACACTCACACCCGTGTTGCCTCAGGGTCACATCGAAACTCTTTACCAAATTTAAAAATATATATATATAGATATATATATATTTTTTAATTTCTTTTTGGCCTGGCCGGGCACCCGGGCCGCTCTGGTAGCCTAGGGTCTGATGCATTTTGGGAACTGCTAGTGTGAGTATGCCCTAGGCCCCTAGGTTACATTAAGTTTATCTAGATTTCTAATTTCGTATCCAGGATTCTAATACTTGGTCACAGTATTCATTGCAAGAGTCTGAAGGGACCAGACCATCACATTGTCTATCGAGGAACTGTGTCAACTGTGTCCGCTGTAAGGAGCCACTGAGGTATTACTATTAGTTATCCTTCGGCAGTAATGCTGGCAAACTT